CCGACGGTGGCGGCGAATTCGTGAAGCGGAGCTTGAGAAATGGATGAAGAGCAAGGGCATTCAGCACGACGTCACAACACCCTACACACCAACAAAATGGAGCAGCGGAGCGGCTTAATCGCACGTTGGTGGAAGCCTTTTGTTCACTTCTTCAACACTCCAAGCTTGGGAGCGAGTGGTAGGGTGATGCGAGTTCGTTGGCGGCATGTATTCGCAACCGTTTGCCGACGAAGGTGCTCCCTGGGAACGACTCCGTTCGAAGCATGGACCGGAACGAAGCCAAACCTATCCCGCCTATGCACCTTTGGGTGCCTTTGCTACTACCATGTACCGGATCCCCTTCGCCACAAGTTGCAACCGAAAGCTTGTGCGGCAATCTACCTGAGAATTGCGGCGAACGAGCACGCGTGGCGAGTGTGGGACTTGGGTGAAAGGCGCGTCGTCACGTCTCGGGACGTGGTCTTTGACGAAGACAAGTTCCCGCCGAAGGGACAACCAACGCCGCAACTCACTGTCGTCCTTCCCGCACGAGAGGAGGATGAAGCGATGGAGGTTCCATCACAAGTGGAAAAGGAAGCCGAAAATGGAGGGGGAGAGAACGAGGAGAGCGATGATGACGTGGTGGAAGTGCCATCAACCACGGCGGCAACTTCCTCAACACATTCCTCCCTCCCATTGGCGTTGACCCGCGAGCAACGTCGTCCCAACACGAAGTACACCGACTACGCTCGGTAGCCGTTTGGGAGTTGGACGAGGAGCATGCGGCATATTGCTTCGCAACCTTGGGTGATGACCCTCGCACCCATACGGAGGCTTTGGCTTCTCCGGATGCGCCACTATGGAAGCAAGCGATGGAGAAGGAACTAGCCTCGATCAAAGAGAACGACGTGTTCGAGCTCGTCGACCCACCGAAGGGTGCCAACTTGGTGGGGTGCAAATGGGTGCTTAAGAAGAAGCTGGGAGCGCTGATGGGAGTGTCGAACGCTACAAGGCGAGGCTTGTAGCTCAAGGATACACTCAACGGGAGGGGGAGCACTATAGTGAGACCTTCGCTCCCGTCGCTAAGGCTACTACTCTTCGGGTGTTGCTCGCGCTAGCGGCATCTCTCAACCTCGAAGTGGAGCAATTGGACGTTTGCACCACCTTTCTCTACGGGCTTCTCATGGAAGAGGTCTACATGCGGCAACCCCGGGGTACGATGATGGTAGCGGAAGGGTATGGAAGCTCAAGCGTACCCTCTACGGCTTGAAGCAAAGTCCACGCGGATGGTACAAGCGCATCGACGACTTTCTTCTTCAACACGGCTTCGCTCGTAGCGAGTGTGATAGCGCTTTGTACGTGTTGAAGGAGGGGGAGAAGCAATTGGTGCTTTTACTCTACGTCGATGACCTACTCCTCTTCTCCGACTCCAAAGACCTCATTCGGGAGGTCAAGCAACGGCTAGGGGCGGAGTTTGCGATGAGGGACTTGGGGCCGGCCACGTATTACCTTGGGATGCACGTCGACCGTGACCGAGCCAACGGGACCATCCACCTCCACCAAGAGAAGTATGTGAAGGGGGTAGTGGAGAGCTTTGGCATGGGCAATAGCAAACCGTTGGGAACACCACTAGCTACGGGATTTTCTTGCCTCATGGGAGAGGAATAATCCACCCTCGACAAAGCCGAAGGGAAGCGGTTTCATTCGCCAGTAGGCTCGCTCATGTATACCGCCGTTTCTACTCGTCCTGACCTCGCATACGCCGCCGGGGTGCTTGGATGAGTCGTGAGCAACCCTCGTACCGAGCATGTGCACGCGGGAGGACGCGTTCTACGCTACCTCCAAGGCACACCTAACTTGGGGCTCGTGTATGAAGCCGGCCCAATCGAACTCAAAGGCTATGCCGGCTCGGACAACGCGGGAGATCCGAGCACGTGCAAGAGTACCTCCGGGTATGTCTTTACCTTTCTTGGGGCAGCCGTGAGTTGGCAAAACAAGAAGCAACCAACCGTGGCTCTAAGCTCAACGGAAGCGGAGTATATGGCCACTCAAGGTGCCATGGAGGCAATATGGTTACGGCGTCTTCTAGCGGAGCTTTGGGCATCCTCAACCGAACCCAACTCCTCTCTTTTTGTGTACAACCAAGCCGCCATAAGCCTCTCTCACAACGCCTTCCTTCACGGGCGAACCAAGCATATCGAAGTGAAGCATCACTTCATTCGTGAGGTGGTTGAGAAGGGTGAGGTCAAACTCACTTATGTGAGCACCAAAGCTCAACCGGCGGATTTCCTCACCAAACCACTCCCTAAGGACTCGTTCTGTGCATGCTGTGAGCGTGTTGGCTTGAGCACTAGTGGCTTTGGTGCAAGGGGGAGTGTTGGAGGTTGCGTGGGGCGGTTTTGCCCCCAACCACCAAGCGGTGTTGTTTTTGGTGCTCACCTTCGAGTGAGCTGCAGGTTTGCGTGAGGTTGAAGTTTGACTTCGGAAGACTCCACCAATTCGGTGCCACATGGCAGCATCAGGAACATTCGAGATTGAAGGAGCATTCGGTGAAATTTGAGTACCGAATTTCACCCCGTTTGAAATGTTACACGAATATCGCGGACACATCTCGTAGGGACTAGATGTTACATGCGTGACTCGATGTACTGAGTGGCTATAAATATGCTCGCCTTGTTTGCATGTTTCATACTGAAAATTAGAGTTTCTTATACACGGTTCAACTCGACACAAATTCCAGAGAGCATCGTATCCTTCAACCTAGAGCATAGCTTTCACGTTAGAGGCCATAACTCGCTCGATACTTAGGCGATCGACGCAATTGACGGCTCGTTGGAAAGCTAAGACAGAGCTCTAGTGATTAGTACAAATCCCAGTTACTGCAAAGTAGAGGAGAGTCCTTTGCAACAGGCGGATCCGCTCGTCCACACGTCGACACTCACGACGGCGGGGTAGCTCGCGAAGGAGCTTCGTCGTGATGCAACGACCGTGAGACGACCGTGCGACGACCGTGCGACGCTCGCGACGTCCCTGGATCTTGTGAATTCAGCAGATGTGAATACGTCGACGTTATCGAAGGGGCCGTTTTCATGGACGCGAATTCGTCGACGTTCGCGCAGCTACTACGGAGGAGCTCGCCGGTGAGTTTTCGCGCAGCTACTACGGAGGAGGTATCAGGCAACGTGCTATCTGTAGGGTAAACGTTTTGTGGCTATTTTTGGCGTTCGCGTTTCGTTTGCGTTCAATCTGGCGTATATATCATGGCGTCTGTATCTCACTCACCTCGTTGTGATTTGAACTGTCTCGTCCGTTGCAGGAGCGGGAGCTAGTTTCCTGGTCTGCGTTGGAGCTACTCTCTCGCCAAGAGCTGGAGCGGTGCTGCTGCGTCCGTGCAGCCGCGGGAGAAGAGCATGCAAGAGGTGATGCTGACTGCTGCGTTGGTGCGGGCGAGAGGAGATGCTGACTGCTGCGTTGGTGCGGGCGAGAGGAGATGGCTGACAGGCGTTGGTGATGGCGCGGTGCTGCTGCGTCCATGGAAGCATGGCGTTGCTGCTGTGTTGGAGGCGGAATGGTGCTGCTGCTGTGTTGGAGGCGGTGCTGCTGTGTTGGAGGCGGTGCTGCTGTGTTGGAGCGGTGCTGCTGTGTTGGAGTGGTGCTGCTGTGTTGGAGTGGTGCTGCTGTTTGGAGGCGGTGCTGCTGTGTCGGAGGCGGTGCTGCTTTGTTGGAGTGGTGCTGCTATGTTGGAGTGGTGCTGCTGTTTGGAGGCGGTGCTGCTGTGTTGGAGGCGGTGCTGCTGTGTTGGAGCGGTGCTGCTGTGTTGGGTAAGCGGCGAGTGGAAAAGCAGCAACTGGAGAAGTGGCGACTTGAGAAGAAAGTAAGTAACTGGAGCTCTTCCTTTGTTCTCCTCGCCCTCCCATCTTCCTCCTCATTCGCGTTTTCCACTCACTTCAGTGTTTTCAAGGCATTCGATTTCTTTGTCGCTTTTCCGATGTCTTTTCCTCATTGCATTCGTTTACGGATAAATCTTCCCTGTGCGATTGCGGCTCTCTGGTCACTGTGCAGGGCGTTAATCCTATGGCAGTCCATGGCGCTATGGCAGTCCATGGCGCTATGGCAGTCCAAGAGCAAGGAGGCAAGGGGAGCGCACGCAATGGGAAGCGCGCCTGCAGGGGAGTGCAAGGGTAGCGCACACAAGAGGAGCACTCCTGCATGCTCCTTCGACCCTCTTCCATCCGGCTAAGCTATCTCACTCAGTTCGCACCACTCACTCGCTCGCACTCGTGCCTTGCACTGCTTGCTTGCACTCACACACTCACTGCTTGCATCCTTCCATATTTCCTTGCTTGCATGCATGCCGTTTTTCCGGTCTGTCACTTGCGTACGCCGTGCTAATCGCCTTCCCTCTCACCTCCCTTGTCTGCTCCGTCCACTTGTTTCCCTCTTCTCCTCTCCTCCTGCCAGCATCCCTCATCCTGCCATCCCTCTGCCAGCACACCCACAGGCCGGCAAGCAGCAGCGAGCATGGAGGAGCAGTGCAAGCAGCGTGGCGAGTGAAGAGGCGAGTGCTGGGATGACGCACGAGAAGGAGGAGAGGGAGGAGGAGGCACGGTGGCAAGGAGGCAAGGAAAGGGTGGTTTTCTCACTTGCTGGAAGCATGGGCATCTCACCTCCTGCTGTGACTGCCGGTGTGTCGTGACTCTCTGCTAAGGCAAGCAGCAACGAGGCTAGGAGAAGGAGAGAGGCCCGCAATGACACTACAGCTGACAGCAGCAGTGGCTGGCAGCAGAAGAGAAGACCATCAGTGACACCAGCGGTGGCAGCAGCGGTGGGAGAAGGAGAGAGGTCCGCAATGACAGTACAGCTGGCAGCAGCAGTGGCTGGCAGCAGAAGACAAGACCAGCAGTGATACCAGCGGTGGCAGCAGCGGTTGGAGAAGGATAGAGGTCCGCAATGACACTACAGCTGACAGCAGCAGTGGCTGGCAGCAGAATAAAGACCAGCAGTGACACCAGCGGTGGCAGCAGCGGTTGGAGAAGGATAGAGGTCCGCAATGACACTACAGCTGACAGCAGCAGTGGCTGGCAGCAGAAGAGAAGACCAGACAGTGACACCAGCGGTGGCAGCAGTGGTTTGAGAAGGAGAGAGGTCCGCAATGACACTACAGCTGACAGCAGCAGTGGCTGGCAGCAGAAGAGAAGACCAGCAGTGACACCAGCGGTGGCAGCAGCGGTGGGAGAAGGAGAGAGGCCCGCAATGACACTACAGCTGACAGCAGCAGTGGCTGGCAGCAGAAGAGAAGACCAGCAGTGACACCAGCGGTGGCAGCAGCGGTAGGAGAAGGAGAGAGGCCCGCAATGACACTACAGCTGACAGCAGCAGTGGCTGGCAGCAGAAGAGAAGACCAGCAGTGACACCAGCGGAGGCAGCAGCGGTGGGAGAAGGAGAGAGGCCCGCAAAGACATTACAGCTGACAGCAGCAGTGGCTGGCAGCAGAAGAGAAGACCAGCAGTGACACCAGCGGTGGCAGCAGCGGTTGGAGAAGGAGAGAGGCCCGCAATGACACTACAGCATACAGCAGCAGTGGCTGGCAGCAGAAGAGAAGACCAGCAGTGACACCAGCGGTGGCAGCAGCGGTAGGAGAAGGAGAGAGGCCCGCAATGACACTACAGCTGACAGCAGCAGTGGCTGGCAGAAGAAGAGAAGACCAGCAGTGACACCAGTGGTGGAGCCATGGGAGAAGGAGAGAGGCCCGCAATGACGCTACAGCTGTCAGCAGCAGTGGCTGGCAGCAGAGGAGAAGACCAGCAGTGACACCAGCGGTGGCAGCAGCAGTGGGAGCAGCGGTGGCAGCAGTAGGGCTAGCAGTGGTGGCAGATGCTAGCAGCGAAGGCTAGCAGTGGGAGCAGAAGTTAGCAGGGAAGGCTAGCAGTGGGAGCAGATGCTAGCAGGGAGGCTAGCAGTGGGAGCAGATGCTAGCAGGGAGGCTAGCAGTGGGAGCAGATGCTAGCAGGGAGGCTAGCAGTGGGAGCAGATGCTAGCAAGGAGGCTAGCAGTGGGTGCAGATGCTAGCAGGGAGGCTAGCAATGGGAGCAGATGCTAGCAGGGAGGCTAGCAGTGGGAGCAGATGCTACCAGGGAGGCTAGCAGTGGTGAGTTTTTGAGAGTCGTCTCAAAACTCACACCCCCTCCTTCCTCACTGCAGATTTTCTGCAGTGAGCAAACTTGGGTTTTGAGAGCAAAACGTCTCAAAACTCACACTTGTTGTGGGCTGTGGTGGTTGTTTTTTTTCTCCTGTTGAGCAGCGGGAGGAGGGCCGGCAGTGAGGCGCTTTGACCCCCTGGGGGGCAAAGGATCAACACAAGAGGAGCAGCGGGAGGTGGAGTGGCGCCTTCAAGTGAGGCGCTTTGACCCCCTGGGGGGCAAAGGATCAACACAAGAGGAGCAGCGGGAGGTGGAGCGGCGCCTTCAAGTGAGGCGCTTTGACCCCCTGGGGGGCAAATGATCAACACACGAGGAGCAGCGGGAGGTGGAGCGGCGCCTTCAAGTGAGGCGCTTTGACCCCCTGGGGGGCAAAGGATCAACACAAGAGGAGCAGCGGGAGGTGGAGCGGCGCCTTCAAGTAAGGCGCATTGACCCCCTGGGGGGCAAAGAATCAACACACAAGGAGCAGCGGGAGGTGGAGCGGCGCCTTCAAGTGAGGCGCCTTCAAGATATAATTTATGTGCCGCCCCTCTTCTAGGTACAGCAAGCATTAAGGGGCAACACCAAGGCGGGAGCAACACGGGGACGCAGCAGCTAGGACCCGTTGTAAGCTGCAGTCTTGTTTGCTTTCTTGTGTTGTCTCATGCCTAATGTTGTTATGTGTGCGTCTTCTTGTCTAAGCCGTCACGAAGACATCAAGACGCCTCCAGCCCCCTCGGTAAGTGCTCTCCAAGTTTCTGCTTTCTGTTTTCCACGTGCGCTGATGTCGTTGTTGCTTCCCGATTCAGACAGCCGCGAGACTTCAAGACGCCTCCAGCCCCTCGGTAAGTGCTCTCCAAGTTTCTGCTTTCTGTTTTCCACGTGCGCTGATGTCGTTGTTGCTTCCCGATTCAGACAGCCGCGAGACTTCAAGACGCCTCCAGCCCCCTCGGTAAGTGCTCTCCAAGTTTCTGCTTTCTGTTTTCCACGTGCGCTGATGTCGTTGTTGCTTCCCGATTCAGACAGCCGCGAGACTTCAAGACGCCTCCAGCCCCCTCGGTAAGTGCTCTCCAAGTTTCTGCTTTCTGTTTTCCACGTGCGCTGATGTCGTTGTTGCTTCCCGATTCAGACAGCCGCGAGACTTCAAGACGCCTCCAGCCCCCTCGGTAAGTGCTCTCCAAGTTTCTGCTTTCTGTTTTCCACGTGCGCTGATGTCGTTGTTGCTTCCCGATTCAGACAGCCGCGAGACTTCAAGACGCCTCCAGCCCCCTCGGTAAGTTCTCTCCAAGTTTCTGCTTTCTGTTTTCCACGTGCGCTGATGTCGTTGTTGCTTCCCGATTCAGACAGCCGCGAGACTTCAAGACGCCTCCAGCCCCCTCGGTAAGTGCTCTCCAAGTTTCTGCTTTCTGTTTTCCACGTGCGCTGATGTCGTTGTTGCTTCCCGATTCAGACAGCCGCGAGACTTCAAGACGCCTCCAGCCCCCTCGGTAAGTGCTCTCCAAGTTTCTGCTTTCTGTTTTCCACGTGCGCTGATGTCGTTGTTGCTTCCCGATTCAGACAGCCGCGAGACTTCAAGACGCCTCCAGCCCCCTCGGTAAGTGCTCTCCAAGTTTCTGCTTTCTGTTTTCCACGTGCGCTGATGTCGTTGTTGCTTCCCGATTCAGACAGCCGCGAGACTTCAAGACGCCTCCAGCCCCCTCGGTAAGTGCTCTCCAAGTTTCTGCTTTCTGTTTTCCACGTGCGCTGATGTCGTTGTTGCTTCCCGATTCAGACAGCCGCGAGACTTCAAGACGCCTCCAGCCCCCTCGGTAAGTGCTCTCCAAGTTTCTGCTTTCTGTTTTCCACGTGCGCTGATGTCGTTGTTGCTTCCCGATTCAGACAGCCGCGAGACTTCAAGACGCCTCCAGCCCCTCGGTAAGTGCTCTCCAAGTTTCTGCTTTCTGTTTTCCACGTGCGCTGATGTCGTTGTTGCTTCCCGATTCAGACAGCCGCGAGACTTCAAGACGCCTCCAGCCCCCTCGGTAAGTGCTCTCCAAGTTTCTGCTTTCTGTTTTCCACGTGCGCTGATGTCGTTGTTGCTTCCCGATTCAGACAGCCGCGAGACTTCAAGACGCCTCCAGCCCCCTCGGTAAGTGCTCTCCAAGTTTCTGCTTTCTGTTTTCCACGTGCGCTGATGTCGTTGTTGCTTCCCGATTCAGACAGCCGCGAGACTTCAAGACGCCTCCAGCCCCCTCGGTAAGTTCTCTCCAAGTTTCTGCTTTCTGTTTTCCACGTGCGCTGATGTCGTTGTTGCTTCCCGATTCAGACAGCCGCGAGACTTCAAGACGCCTCCAGCCCCCTCGGTAAGTGCTCTCCAAGTTTCTGCTTTCTGTTTTCCACGTGCGCTGATGTCGTTGTTGCTTCCCGATTCAGACAGCCGCGAGACTTTCAAGACGCCTCCAGCCCCCTCGGTAAGTGCTCTCCAAGTTTCTGCTTTCTGTTTTCCACGTGCGCTGATGTCGTTGTTGCTTCCCGATTCAGACAGCCGCGAGACTTCAAGACGCCTCCAGCCCCCTCGGTAAGTGCTCTCCAAGTTCCTGCTTTCTGTTTTCCACGTGCGCTGATGTCGTTGTTGCTTCCCGATTCAGACAGCCGCGAGACTTCAAGACGCCTCCAGCCCCCTCGGTAAGTGCTCTCCAAGTTTCTGCTTTCTGTTTTCCACGTGCGCTGATGTCGTTGTTGCTTCCCGATTCAGACAGCCGCGAGACTTCAAGACGCCTCCAGCCCCCTCGGTAAGTGCTCTCCAAGTTTCTGCTTTCTGTTTTCCACGTGCGCTGATGTCGTTGTTGCTTCCCGATTCAGACAGCCGCGAGACTTCAAGACGCCTCCAGCCCCCTCGGTAAGTGCTCTCCAAGTTTCTGCTTTCTGTTTTCCACGTGCGCTGATGTCGTTGTTGCTTCCCGATTCAGACAGCCGCGAGACTTCAAGACGCCTCCAGCCCCCTCGGTAAGTGCTCGTCCATTTGGTTTACTTGTTCTCCACTACCACTAATGGTCCGTGTTTGTCTTATTTAGCAGAAGGGAGAAGTGGAGCATCGGAGCACTCGATCGCGGTGGAGCAGAGGAGGCGTGGAGGAGAGGAGGCGTGGAGGAGAGGAGGCTTGGAGGAGAGGAGGCGTGGAGGAGAGGAGGCGCGGAGGAGAGGAGGCGCGGAGGAGAGGAAGCGCGGAGGAGAGGAGGCGTGGGGGAGAGGAGGCGCGGAGCAGAGGAGAGGAGAGGAGGCGTGGGAGGAGAGGAGAGGAGGCGCGGAGCAGAGGAGGCGTGGAGGAGAGGAGGCGCGGAGCAGAGGAGGCGCAGAGGAGAGGAGGCGCGGAGGAGAGGAGGCACGGACGAGAGGAGGCGCGGAGGAGAGGAGGCGCTAAGGAGAATTCCTGCCGGTGAGCATCTTCTTTCCTGCCTTCGTTTTCTTGATCCTTTGGTTGTTGCGCTGTTCGCTTGGCTTTGACTTCGAATCAGTTTTTAGCTCCGGGTGCAATCGCTGGGTGCTCATTAGCTTTTCCTTCCTTCCCATCCCACAGGAGATGCACCTTTGGGGACGGAGCATCAGACGAGGAGGAGCAGAGGAGATGCGTCAGAGGAGGAGGAGCAGAGGAGAGCAGAGCTGCACTGGCCCCCACCACTGCTGGCCTTATGGAGGGGGGAAGGCGCCAGTATTGACAGGAGCAAGGTGGAGCTGTTGCTACCTGCTGCTGCTGCCTTGTGCTGTAGCTGGTGCTACCAAGTGATGGCGACCGCTACCTCCCGCTCTACCTCTCTCCCCTGTGCTGCTGCTGGGGCTACGAAACTGCTGCATTGGAGGTGGAGAGGTGCTGCTGTGTTGGCAGCAGCAGTAGCAGCAGTGGGACCACCAGCAATACCAGACAACTGCAGCAGCGACAGGTGCTACCTCCCGCGCTCCTACCTCTCTCCCTTGTGCTGCTGCTGGGGCTACGAAACTGCTCCGTTGGAGGGTGGAGAGGTGCTGCTGTGTTGGCAGCAGCAGCGGCAGCATTGGGACCACCAGCAATACCAGAAAACTGCAGCAGCGTCAGGTGCTACCTCCCTCGCTCCTACCTCCCTCCCTTGTGCTGCTGCTGGGGCTACGAAACAGCTGAGTTGGAGGTGGAGAGGTGCTGCTGTGTTGGCAGTGACAGGTGCTACCTCCCTCACTACTACCTCCCTCCAGTGTGCTGCTGCTGCTGGTGTGATGTGATCGGAGGAGAGGTGAAGTGGAGTGGAGGAGCAAAGGAGATGACCAGCAACAAAAGGAGAGGCAGCAGCAGAAGAGAAGGCCATTGGTGACACCAGCGGTGGGAGCAGCAGTGGGAGCAGATGATGCTGCCTCACTGCCGCGTGCTACTGCAGTTGAGCAGAGGAGACGACTAGGCAGCTGCTGGGAGCAGAAGAGAAGGCCAGCTGCTATCTCCCTCGCTTCTACCTACCTCCCACCCATGAGCTGCATCAGAGGAGGAGGAGCAGAGGAGATGCATCAGGGGAGGAGGAGCAGAGGCGATGCATCAGAGGAGGAGGAGCAGAGGAGATGCATCAGAGGAGGAGGAGCAGAGGAGATGCATCAGAGGAGGAGGAGCAGAGGAGAAGCATCCGAGGAGGAGGAGATGGAGCATAGGTGGAGCAGAGGAGGTGGAGAAGCAAAGGAGTTGGCTCAGCCGAGGAGCAGCAGAAGAGGAGACGAGGAGCAAAGTAGCGATGGAGCGAAGAAGCACAGTGGTGGAGTAAATATGTGATCCTCTTTCTTGATTTATCTGTTCTGTTCGTTCAGATGCATGGTTGCTGCCTTATTCGTTTCGCAAGTCCTTTCCTTCTTGCCTTATGCATGCTCAAAGTCCTTTCCTTCTTGTCATGTGAGATTATGTCCTTTCTGTGAGATTATGCACTCATCAGCCCTGTGCCTGCCTCTTCCCATTTCACAGCAGCAGAGGAGAGGAAGGAGAGGCAAAGGAGATGATGGAGAAGAGAGCACGGAGGAAAAGACACGGAGGGGGAAAGGCCAAAGGAGCAGAGGAGCAGAGAACCACACAGCTGTGATTCCCCCCAACGCTGCTGGCCGCATGGAGGAGAGAAGCCACAGACAAGAGAAGGAATGGAGGGGAGAAGGCATGGAGGGGAGAAGGCATGGAGGGGAGAAGGCATGGAGGGGAGAAGGCATGGAGGGGAGAAGGCATGGAGGGGAGAAGGCATGGAGGGGAGAAGGCATGGAGGGGAGAAGGCATGGAGGGGAGAAGGCATGGAGGGGAGAAGGCATGGAGGGGAGAAGGCATGGAGGGGAGAAGGCATGGAGGGGAGAAGGCATGGAGGAGAGAAGGCAGGGAGGGAGAAGGCATGGAGGGGAGAAGGCATGGAGGGGAGAAGGCATGGAGGGGAGAAGGCATGGAGGGGAGAAGGCATGGAGGGGAGAAGGCAGGGAGGGGAGAAGGCATGGAGGGGAGAAGGCATGGAGGGGAGAAGGCATGGAGGGGAGAAGGCATGGAGGGGAGAAGGCATGGAGGGGAGAAGGCATGGAGGGGAGAAGGCAGGGAGGGGAGAAGGCATGGAGGGAGAAGGCATGGAGGGGAGAAGGCATGGAGGGGAGAAGGCATGGAGGGGAGAAGGCATGGAGGGGAGAAGGCATGGAGGGGAGAAGGCAGGAGGGGAGAAGGCATGGAGGGGAGAAGGGAGAAGGCATGGAGGGGAGAAGGCATGGGAGGGAGAAGGCATGGAGGGGAGAAGGCATGGAGGGGAGAAGGCATGGAGGGGAGAAGGCATGGAGGGGAGGAGAAGGCATGGAGGGGAGAAGGCATGGAGGGGAGAAGGCATGGAGGGGAGAAGGGCAGGGAGGGGAGAAGGCATGGAGGGGAGAAGGCATGGAGGGGAGAAGGCAGGGAGGGGAGAAGGCATGAGGGGAGAAGGCAGGGAGGGGAGAAGGCATGGAGGGGAGAAGGCATGGAGGGGAGAAGGCATGGAGGGAGAAGGCATGGAGGGGAGAAGGCATGAAGGGGAGAAGGCATGGAGGGGAGTAAGGCATGGAGGGGAGAAGGCAGGGAGGGGAGAAGGCATGGAGGGGAGAAGGCATGGAGGGGAGAAGGCATGGAGGGGAGAAGGCATGGAGGGGAGAAGGCATGGAGGGGAGAAGGCATGGAGGGGAGACGGCATGGAGGGGAGAAGGCATGGAGGGGAGAAGCATGGAGGGGAGAAGGCATGGAGGGGAGAAGGCATGGAGGGGAGAAGGCATGGAGGGGAGAAGGCCATGGAGGGGAGAAGGCATGGAGGGGAGAAGGCATGGAGGGGAAGAAGGCATGGAGGGGAGAAGGCATGGAGGGGAGAAGGCAGGGAGGGGAGAAGGCATGGAGGGGAGAAGGCAGGGAGGGGAGAAGGCATGGAGGGGAGAAGGCATGGAGGGGAGAAGGCATGGAGGGGAGAAGGCATGGAGGGGAGAAGGCATGGAGGGGAGAAGGCATGGAGGGGAGAAGGCATGGAGGGGAGAAGGCATGGAGGGGAGAAGGCAGGGAGGGGAGAAGGCATGGAGGGGAGAAGGCAGGGAGGGGAGAAGGCATGGAGGGGAGAAGGGCATGGAGGGGAGAAGGCATGGAGGGGAGAAGGCATGGAGGGGAGAAGGCATGGAGGGGAGAAGGCATGGAGGGGAGAATGGCAAGGGAGGGGAGAAGGCATGGAGGGGAGAAGGCAGGGAGGGGAGAAGGCATGGAGGGGAGAAGGCATGGAGGGGAGAAGGCATGGAGGGGAGAAGGCATGGAGGGAGAAGGCATGGAGGGGAGAAGGCATGGAGGGGAGAAGGCAGGGAGGGGAGAAGGCATGGAGGGGAGAAGGCATGGAGGGGAGAAGGCATGGAGGGGAGAAGGCATGGAGGGGAGAAGGCAGGGAGTGGAGAAGGCATGGAGGGGAGAAGGCAGGGAGGGGAGAAGGCAGGGAGGGGAGAAGGCATGGAGGGGAGAAGGCATGGAGGGGAGAAGGCATGGAGGGGAGAAGGAGGGAGGGGAGAAGGCATGGAGGGGAGAAGGCATGGAGGGGAGAAGGCATGGAGGGGAGAAGGCATGGAGGGAGAAGGCATGGAGGGGAGAAGGCATGAGGGGAGAAGGCATGAGGGGAGAAGGCATGGAGGGGAGAAGGCATGGAGGGGAGAAGGCATGGAGGGGAGAAGGCATGGAGGGGAGAAGGCATGGAGGGGAGAAGGCATGGAGGGGAGAAGGCATGGGAGGGAGAAGGCATGGAGGGGAGGAAGGCATGGAGGGGAGAAGGCAGGGAGGGGAGAAGGCATGGAGGGGAGGAAGGCATGGAGGGGAGAAGGCATGGAGGGGAGGAAGGCATGGAGGGGAGAAGGCATGGAGGGAGAAGGCATGGAGGGGAGAAGGCATGGAGGGGAGAAGGCATGGAGGGGAGAAGGCATGGAGGGGAGAAGCATGGAGGGGAGAAGGCATGGAGGGGAGAAGGCATGGAGGGGAGAAGGCATGGAGGGGAGAAGGCATGGAGGGGAGAAGGCATGGAGGGGAGAAGGCATGGAGGGCGAAGGCATGGAGGGGAGAAGGCATGGAGGGGAGAAGGCAGAGGGAGAAGGCATGGAGGGGAGAAGGCATGGAGGGAGAAGGCACTGGAGGGGAGAAGGCATGCGAGGGGAGAAGGCATGGAGGGGAGAAGGCAGGGAGGGGAGAAGGCATGGAGGGGAGAAGGCATGGGAGGGGAGAAGGCATGGAGGGGAGAAGGCATGGAGGGGAGAAGGCATGGAGGGGAGAAGGCATGGAGGGGAGAAGGCATGGAGGGGAGGCTGGAGAAGGCATGGAGGGAGAGGCATGGGAGAAGGCATGGAGGGGAGAAGGCATGGAGGGGAGAAGGCATGGAGGGGAGAAGCATGGAGGTGAGAAGGCATGGAGGGGAGAAGGCATGGAGGGGAGAAGGCATGGAGGGGAGAAGGCATGGAGGGGAGAAGGCATGGAGGGGAGAAGGCATTGGAGGGGAGAAGGCATGGAGGGGAGAAGGCATGGAGGGGAGAAGGCATGGAGGGGAGAAGGCATGGAGGGGAGAAGGCATGGAGGGGAGAAGGCATGGAGGGGAGAAGGCATGGAGGGGAGAAGGCATGGGAGGGGAGAAGAGGCATGGAGGGGAGAAGCCATGGAGGGGAGAAGGCATGGAGGGGAGAAGGCATGGAGGAGAAGGCATGGAGGGGAGAAGGCATGGAGGGGAGAAGGCATGTGAGGGGAGAAGGCATGGAGGGGAGAAGGCATGGAGGGGAGAAGGCATGGAGGGGAGAAGGCATGGAGGGGAGAAGGCATGGAGGGGAGAAGGCCATGGAGGGGAGAAGGCAGGGAGGGGAGAAGGCATGGAGGGGAGACGGCATGGAGGGGAGAAGGCATGGAGGGGAGAAGGCATGGAGGGGAGAAGGCATGGAGGGGAGAAGGCATGGAGGGGAGAAGGCATGGAGGGGAGAAGGCATGGAGGGGAGAAGGCATGGAGGGGAGAAGGCAGGGAGGGGAGAAGGCATGGAGGGGAGAAGGCATGGAGGGGAGAAGGCATGGAGGGGAGAAGGCATGGAGGGGAGAAGGCAGGGAGGGGAGAAGGCATGGAGGGGAGAAGGCATGGAGGGGAGAAGGCATGGAGGGGAGAAGGCATGGAGGGGAGAAGGCATGGAGGGGAGAAGGCAGGAGGGGAGAAGGCATGGAGGGGAGAAGGCATGGAGGGGAGAAGGCATGGAGGGGAGAAGGCATGGAGGGGAGAAGGCATGGAGGGGAGAAGGCATGGAGGGGAGAAGGCATGGAGGGGAGAAGGCATGGAGGGGAGAAGGCATGGAGGGGAGAAGGCATGGAGGGGAGAAGGCATGGAGGGGAGAAGGCAGGGAGGGGAGAAGGCATGGAGGGGAGAAGGCATGGAGGGGAGAAGGCATGGAGGGAGAAGGCATGGAGGGGAGAAGGCATGGAGGGGAGAAGGCATGGAGGGGAGAAGGCATGGAGGGGAGAAGGCATGGAGGGGAGAAGGCATGGAGGGGAGAAGGCATGGAGGGGAGAAGGCATGGAGGGGAGAAGGCATGGAGGGGAGAAGGCATGGAGGGGAGAAGGCATGGAGGGGAGAAGGCATGGAGGGGAGAAGGCATGGAGGGGAGAAGGCATGGAGGGGAAGAAGGCATGGAGGGGAGAAGGCATGGAGGGGAGAAGGCATGGAGGGGAGAAGGCATGGAGGGAGAAGGCATGGAGGGGAGAAGGCATGGAGGGGAGAAGGCATGGAGGGGAGAAGGCATGGAGGGGAGAAGGCATGGAGGGGAGAAGGCATGGAGGGGAGAAGGCATGGAGGGGAGAATGGCATGGAGGGGAGAAGGCATGGAGGGGAGAAGGCATGGAGGGGAGAAGGCATGGAGGGGAGAAGGCATGGAGGGGAGAAGGCATGGAGGGGAGAAGGCATGGAGGGGAGAAGGCATGGAGGGGAGAAGGCATGGAGGGGAGAAGGCAGGGAGGGGAGAAGGCATGGAGGGGAGAAGGCATGGAGGGGAGAAGGCATGGAGTGGAGAAGGCATGGAGGGGAGAAGGCATGGAGGGGAGAAGGCATGGAGGGGAGAAGGCATGGAGGGGAGAAGGCATGGAGGGGAGAAGGCATGGAGGGGAGAAGGCATGGAGGGGAGAAGGCATGGAGGGGAGAAGGCATGGAGGGGAGAAGGCATGGAGGGGAGAAGGCATGGAGGGGAGAAGGCATGGAGGGGAGAAGGCATGGAGGGGAGAAGGCATGGAGGGGAGAAGGCATGGAGGGGAGAAGGCATGGAGGGGAGAAGGCATGGAGGGGAGAAGGCATGGAGGGGAGAAGGCATGGAGGGGAGAAGGCATGGAGGGGAGAAGGCATGGAGGGGAGAAGGCATGGAGGGGAGAAGGCATGGAGGGGAGAAGGCATGGAGGGGAGAAGGCATGGAGGGGAGAAGGCATGGAGGGGAGAAGGCATGGAGGGGAGAAGGCATGGAGGGGAGAAGGCATGGAGGGGAGAAGGCATGGAGGGGAGAAGGCATGGAGGGGAGAAGGCATGGAGGGGAGAAGGCATGGAGGGGAGAAGGCAGGGAGGGGAGAAGGCATGGAGGGGAGAAGGCATGGAGGGGAGAAGGCATGGAGGGGAGAAGGCATGGAGGGGAGAAGGCATGGAGGGGAGAAGGCATGGAGGGGAGAAGGCATGGAGGGGAGAAGGCATGGAGGGGAGAAGGCATGGAGGGGAGAAGGCATGGAGGGGAGAAGGCATGGAGGGGAGAAGGCATGGAGGGGAGAAGGCATGGAGGGGAGAAGGCAGGGAGGGGAGAAGGCATGGAGGGGAGAAGGCATGGAGGGGAGAAGGCATGGAGGGGAGAAGGCATGGAGGGGAGAAGGCATGGAGGGGAGAAGGCATGGAGGGGAGAAGGCATGGAGGGGAGAAGGCATGGAGGGGAGAAGGCATGGAGGGGAGAAGGCATGGAGGGGAGAAGGCATGGAGGGGAGAAGGCATGGAGGGGAGAAGGCATGGAGGGGAGAAGGCATGGAGGGGAGAAGGCATGGAGGGGAGAAGGCAGGGAGGGGAGAAGGCATGGAGGGGAGAAGGCATGGAGGGGAGAAGGCATGGAGGGGAGAAGGCATGGAGGGGAGAAGGCATGGAGGGGAGAAGGCATGGAGGGGAGAAGGCATGGAGGGGAGAAGGCATGGAGGGGAGAAGGCATGGAGGGGAGAAGGCATGGAGGGGAGAAGGCATGGAGGGGAGAAGGCATGGAGGGGAGAAGGCATGGAGGGGAGAAGGCATGGAGGGGAGAAGGCATGGAGGGGAGAAGGCATGGAGGGGAGAAGGCATGGAGGGGAGAAGGCATGGAGGGGAGAAGGCATGGAGGGGAGAAGGCATGGAGGGGAGAAGGCATGGAGTGGAGAAGGCATGGAGGGGAGAAGGCATGGAGGGGAGAAGGCATGGAGGGGAGAAGGCATGGAGGGGAGAAGGCATGGAGGGGAGAAGGCATGGAGGGGAGAAGGCATGGAGGGGAGAAGGCATGGAGGGGAGAAGGCATGGAGGGGAGAAGGCATGGAGGGGAGAAGGCATGGAGGGGAGAAGGCATGGAGGGGAGAAGGCATGGAGGGGAGAAGGCATGGAGGGGAGAAGGCATGGAGGGGAGAAGGCATGGAGGGGAGAAGGCATGGAGGGGAGAAGGCATGGAGGGGAGAAGGCATGGAGGGGAGAAGGCATGGAGGGGAGAAGGCATGGAGGGGAGAAGGCATGGAGGGGAGAAGGCATGGAGGGAAGAAGGCATGGAGGGGAGAAGGCACAGAGGAGAGAAGGCATGGAGGGGAGAAGGCATGGAGGGGAGAAGGCATGGAGGGGAGAAGGCATGGAGGGGAGAAGGCATGGAGGAGAGAAGGCATGGAGGGGAGAAGGCATGGAGGGGAGAAGGCATGGAGGGGAGAAGGCATGGAGGGGAGAAGGCATGGAGGGGAGAAGGCATGGAGGGGAGAAGGCACAGAGGAGAGAAGGCATGGAGTGGAGAAGGCAAGGCGCGGAGAAGGCACACAGGCACGGCTGTGAAATCGACACCAGCAAGCTGCAAGCTGTTACTGCCTCCCGCGTGCTGCTGCTGGTGCTGTGAAGTGATGGGATGGCGAGCAGAAGACATGGCCAGCAGTGGCACCAGCGGTGGCAGCAGCAGTGGGAGCATAAGAGAGGCTCGCAGTGACATATGGTTTCAGCAGCCGTGGTAGCAGAAGGGAATGCAATCAGTGGTACCAGTAGTGGCAGTAGCAGTGGGAGCAGAAGAGAGGCCACCAGTGACACCAGCGGTGGGAGTAGGGGAGAGGCATGCGGTGACACTACCGGTGGCAGCAGCAGTGCGAGCAGAAAGAGAAGGCCAGCAGTGACACCAGCAGTGGCAGCAGCAGTGGAGGGGGAGTGGTGCTGCAGTGGAGGGGGAGTGGTGCTGCACTGGAGGGGGAGTGGTGCTGCACTGGAGGGGGAGTGGTGCTACACTGGAGGGGGAGTGGTGCTGCACTGGAGGGGGAGATGAAGCAGCTGTGAAGGAGATGCATCAGAGGAGGAGGAGCAGAGGAGATGCATCAGAGGAGGAGGAGCAGAGGAGATGCATCAGAGGAGGAGGAGCAGCTGAGGAGAGGAGGCGTGCAAAAGTTTGAAGGAGCAAAGGAGCAGAGGAGGCAAAGGAGAATCCCCTGCCACTGTCGGTGAGGATCTCCTTTCCTGCTCTCGATTTAGGGAGCGATGGAGCGAACAAGCACAGACGTGGAGTAAATATGTGCTGCCAATGGTTTTCCTCTTTTTTGCGTTAGCTTGTTTGTTCGTTCAGATGCATTGTCGTTGCTTTAATAGTTTTGCACGTGCGTTAGCTGGTTTGTTTGTTCTGATGCATAGTTGTTGCTTTTTCGTTTTTCCTGGTGAAGCAGATTGCAGGGAACACATGTTGCATCGAAGCAGAACAGGGGGTGAAGCAGTTTGCAGGGAACACAGGTTGCAGGGAAGCAGAGTAAGACCTCGTTTGCTGGTTTGAGGCGCCTCAAATCCAGTTGTGAACTGCCGGTGGCAGTTTTGTTCCCTCTTGTGAGTTTCGAGAGATGTCTCAAAACTCACTCTCAAAACTCTCCTTTCCTCCTCACTGCAGCTTAGCTGCAGTGAACTGCAGTGAGCAAAATCAGGGTTTTGGGAGACGTCTCAAAATTCTTTTGCATGCTCTTTGCTGCAAGCTTTGCAGTGAGCAAAACTGTACAGCTAATCAGGAAGCAAGACCAGGCAGGCAGCATCAGATTTGAGATTGATTTTCACCTGCCCTTGGGCAGTATCCAGTATCCTTTTGTGATCTGTCTCCCCCCGCAACAGGGTCACATAATAATTATCACCTGCCCCTGGGCAGTATCCAGTATCCTTTTGTGTTTTGTCTCCCCCCCCAACAGGGTCACATAATAATTTTCACCTGCCCCTGGGCAGTATCCAGTATCCTCTTGTGTTCTGTCTACCCTCCCAACAGGGTCACATAATAATTTTCACCTGCCCCTGGGCAGTATCCAGTATCCTTTTGTGTTCTGTCTCCCCCCCCAACAGGGTCACATAATAGATTTCACCTACCCCTGGGCAGTATCCAGTATCCTTTTGTGTTCTGTCTCCCCTCCCAACAGGGTCCCAAGCGATGGTTCCCACCTCACCGCGGTTCTTGGGTGTAACGTTGGGAGCTTGCTCCTGGCGGCTATGAGGAACCCCCCATGCATACCTACAGTGCATGGGTAGTACAATAGTAGTACAATGATTTACTAATTTATCTGGATCATCATTAGGAACTTTGATTGGATAATTACCATGAAACTATTACTGCAGTAGGTGCAGCTTTAGTTCAGGCATATGTAGACAATTAGTGCTATGGACTAGCATGTTATTTAGTCAATTGATGCACCAGATAGTGTGCATTTCCTGATGTGACAGACAAAACCTGTTGAACAGAACCAGAGACAGAACAGAACCATACAGACAGAACCAAAGACAGAAGGTGCACAACACAAACAGAGCCACATAGACAGCTATCGTAATTATATTAGTAAATGGAGCACTAGTAAATCTGTCAGAATCCCAACCACTAGACCATTGGGATAAAAGGGCTTGTTAAGTAGCGGGTCAGAGTGCGCCCATAACCCCCCAGGCGAACGCGCCTGTAACCCCCCTAGGATCAATCGGGCATCCACAGTGCAGATCTACTGACACCCCCCCACACTGGGAGGCCCAGGACTGAGCACAGCGGCAACGGCCTACATGTGCATACACCGGGATTCGAACCCGAGACCTTTCTGACACCATGTCAGAATCCCAGTCACTAGACCATTGGGATAGAATGGCTTGTTAAGTAGCGGGTCAATGCGCCCATAACCCCACAGGACAACGAGCCTGTAACCCTCCCCTAGGATCAATCGGGGATCACCAGTGGACCTCTGACACCCCCCCGCACTGGGATGCCCAAAGTGCACACACTGGGATTCGAACCCGAGACCGCTCTGATACCATGTCAGAATCCCAACCACTAGACCATTGGGGTAAAAGGGCTTGTTAAGTAGCGGGTCAGAGTGCGCCCATAACCCCCCAGGCGAACGCGCCTGTAACCCCCCTAGGATCAATCGGGGATCACCAGTGGACCTCTGACACCCCCCCGCACTGGGATGCCCGAAGTGCACACACCGGGATTCGAACTCGAGACCTTCGCTCTGATACCATGCCAGAATCCCAACCACTAGACCATTGGGATAAAAGGGCTTGTTAAGTAGCGGGTCAGTGCGCCCATAACCCCCCAGGACAACATGCCTGTAACCCTTCCCTAGGATCAATCGGGGATCTCCAGTGGACCTCTGACACCCCCCCGCACTGGGATGCCCGAGGTGCACACACTGGGATTCGAACCCGAGACCGCTCTGATACCATGTCAGAATCCCAACCACTAGACCATTGGGATAAAAGGGCTTGTTAAGTAGCGGGTCAGAGTGCGCCCATAACCCCCCAGGCGAACGCGCCTGTAACCCCCTTAGGATCAATCGGGCATCCACAGTGCAGATCTACTGGCAAAATCTGGAACCTTTGGTTGGATATTTGATACTGAGATCTCTCAACTGGATCATTACCGTATGATCTATTTTTGGTAAGGAGCAACTCTGAATATGGTAGTGATCAATTTGTACCCTCTAGTTTTCCTCCTTTCCTATTTCAAATGCGCCATTATCGCTGCGAGACTTTGCTGCGATGGCTTTAGTAGATTCGAACAGCCTGATCATGTCCTGGCAATCCTAGCCATATTCCCCCGGATAAAAGACCCTAGGGGCTGTTATTGATTTCACAAAAATAAGGGGGGGGGGGGTCTTATTATCGAGTAAAAAACCGATAAGAAACGGGTCTTATTATAAGTGCTATGTTTTTTTAATTATAATGAAATGCAAGGGTGTTGTAATGCATATTTGCGTTTTTTAAACGAGGAAACACCCCGCGAATGTCTTGAGCCGAGAAACCGGGCACAATCCATGAAGCATCTGAATGCTTCATGCTCATTGGCCCATATTCAATGGTAAGATTCCAAGGTGGTGGGTGAAGAGTGGAGGTAGCTGGGTGTTGAGAGGCTGCTTTGATTGTATTTTGTGACTCCTGTTGCCTACCATGTGCCACTGCTTGCTTAATTGACATGAATTAACCTCTAAAGAACACTTTTGAGGTTGGGGGGAGGGGGGGGGGGGGGGGGGGGGGGGGGTTATAATGATTTCACCCCAATTGGGGGGTATAAGGAAAACAATCTTGAATAATATACCCCCCCCCCCCCCCCCCCCGTATGAAAGACCCGGGAACATTATTATGGGGAGGTCTTTTATCCGGGGGAATATGGTAATGGATATTTCAGCGAGATTTCAGTCACTGATGAGTTTTATCCATACCTTCATCATTTCACTTCCATTCAGGTGGACTGGGAGGCTTTACTCGTGTCTCGCTTTGAAGACTTCAATGCCTCTTATCTCTCCATGGCTCTTCACCTCTACTCAAAGCTCGCCCTGGAATCTAGCTCTTATCGAAAGTGCCTTACCCACCACGCACCATGTGATTGCGACATTGAGCTATCATGTGAAGCATGAAAGGTGACCAGGTGCTGCTTGCCTTGCTTCACTACCGTATGTTTCGTGTTGGATCGTTTCATACCGGTGTTGAAATCTTACGAGAGGAAAAAGTGGTTTCGACTATCGAGGGGATTGGTACAAAGTGAGAACCCAAGGGGTTGTACCCCACAGTAAGTACCCCACTAAGCCTACCCAAACTATAACATATATATATACATATGTTTGACACACCCCCATAGGCAAAGTGGGGGAAAACAGAGGGTCACAAGACCAGTCAGGAAGTGCAGAGCAAGCTCAGGGTGGATCACAACGTCACCACGCAGTCTGAGCACAAGCAAGAAGGCCACAAGGCCAGTTCACATGCAGAAATATATATGTAACAACAACAGTACAGTGATATCTACCTACAAGAACAAGCATGCAGGAATACATATAAATCATGGTACAAACAAAGCCTACAGCAAGTGAGGAAGAGTGGGCACAAGGCCTAACAAAGTGCAGAAACGCTGATGATCACCAGCCGAAAGCGCCTTGGTGAATATATCAGCAGTGTTGGCCCGAGTGGCCACGTAGGTAAGACGAAGCTGGCCACGATGCTGCAGCTCTCGAGCAAGAAAGTAACGGAGAGCGATGTGCTTTGTTCTGTGCTCTAGTCTGAGCTCCTGACACAAGGCAATGGCGGCCTTGTTGTCGACGTACAGAACTGGAGGAGAACGAGGCCGCTCTCCCAAGTCGGTCAGCAGGTAGGTGAGCCAGCGCAGCTCCTGTGCAGCCATGGCTGTGGCGTAGATCTCTGCCTCACAGCTGGAGCCGAGAACTGAAGACGAACGTGTAGAACGCCAGGAAACTGAACCAGAACCAAGGCTGAAGGTGTAACCCTGTGACGACCGCTGCGTAGCCTGGTCGTCAACCCAAGAGGCGTCCGAGTGACCAGTGAGGACAACGTCACCCCGTCCTCCAAGCACGAGCCCCATGCCCGATGTATTGCACAAGTAGCGTAGTACCCTCTTGGCAGCATCCATGTACACCTTTCGGTGCCGACCAGGAGCCACGTAGCGAGCCAGAAGGCCAAGAGGGTACGCAAGGTCAGGACGAGTGCAAGTCATCAGGTACATGAGGCAGCCCACTAACTCTGGGTAAGGACCACTCGGCTCTACGGACTCGTCCGAAGGTGGATCTGAGAGCGAGTGACCTGTAGCCAGAGGAGTGGCCTGTGCTGAGGACCAGGTGAAACCGAAGCGCTGAAGGACCTGCTGCACCATGTGTGACTGAGTCAGTGTGATGGTGCGGCGTGCTCTGTCCCGGGTGATCCGCAAGCCAAAGTAGCTGCGCAGTTCACCCAGGTCTGTGCACGTGTGTCTCTTCTGCAGCTCCGACTTCAACAGGGCGAGAGCCTCAGTGTCAGCAGTGGCAAAGACCAAGTCGTCGACGTACACGAGAATGTAGAA